TGTCACTCGGGATACTAAAATGAGCCAAAGAGATTTTTCTATTCATTCTACAAATTTAAAATTAACATTAAGTTAAGATCTCTTCCCTAAGTTTTTCTCTATTTTTATTTCTTCCATAATTGCCTGAGTTTTGTTACATGTGGGTGAATTTTATAATTATGTGCATATACTGAACAATTTTTCCACACATCTATGTATATTTAGCAAGAGCCATATGTTCAGTTCTCTAAAATCTAAAATACTTTTACTCCTTAATGCTCAAGAATTCACTAAAAAACTTTTTTTCAAAATGAAAATCCAATTCAGTAAGACAAAGGCAAATGGCAAGTCACAAAAAGAGAAAGATAATGGTGATGCTTACACAAAATTGTAATCATAATTTGAAAAAGAAAACTATGACTATATAAAAATATAGGGAATGCGTGTACATAAAAGCACATAATAAACAAGACGATGATAAATAGTGAAGACATGGTATACAGTCCAGCATAAAAAAGAGTAATACTTGAACAGAAAAAGACAAAGAACTTAATAGAAAGCTCAAGAGACCAAAAGTAAGTACGTAAAATAAAATATTCAAATGCATTTATATTAACAAAATATGAAATGATGAGATTATGCTTTCTATCTATTCAATTGGGAATAGAGTATGGGATGTATACTACAATGGTAAAAATGTGGGGAAACTTGCTCCCACATCATTAGTATAAATGTAAAAATGGTTGTTGAATCTTAAAATCTGGAAGTATTTTTTATAATGTTTACATACTTTGACATCTACGCTTCTATTCTAAGGATATAATGAAGATTAATCATTAGGATGATCATCATGATGTTGTTTTTTTTTTCAATGTCAAAAACACAGAACTAACCTAAGTATCCATTATTGGGTAAAGTAAATGTATGGTATATTACAGAGGTCAGCAAACCATTACCTACAAACTGAATCCGGCCCCATCACCAATCCTGTACAGTCTAAGAGTTATAAATAATTTTACATCTTTAATGGAAAGAATACTATTTAATGACACATGAAACTATGATTTTAAATTTCAGAATCCGTAAAATAAGGTTTCACTGGAAAGGCAAGCTGTTCGTTTACATATTATGTAAGGCTGCTTCCTCCTCACTTGACGGCCCTGCCTTTGGTTTTTGCTCTTGTC